GTCAAAGCTTTAACTAACTATGTATTATTTAGTCATTCACAGCGCACGTTAATTACTTCATTTATACCACACTTTTATACCAACACTCAATATAACTAAATGACAAAAGTTATAACTAATAATTATCAAATGTATTTTTAAATATTGAAAAATTATGATAAAATTTCAAAAATTCTCTAAAAATTAGTTCCTGAATTGCTTAAACAAGCGTCTGAACAAGTGAAACAAAAGCATCCTTTGTCGAACACCACACAATATAATATTGGTGATAAAGTTTTAGTCCAAAACGAAACATCTAATACTAAATTTCGAGATCGTTACAATGGACCATATGAAATTATAAAACCTTATCCACCTTTTACATACATTGTAAAAATGCCAAAAAATAACAGATTAGAAAATTTACCGGTCCATATTGACCAAATAAAACCATTTCATAGCAGGACAGGAGAATAAAATAACTTTACAATTTTACTTAAATTTAAACCACATTTTTACTATTTTTATTTTTTTTGTTTCATATAAATTTTCTTTTGGATATTGATGGCTTACTCATTTATAATTGTCAATATAAATAATTTTTATTCTCAATTAATTTTATTATATATAACTACTTTCTTAATTAGACGTGTTCTTGAATAATTATTATATTAATACTTGAATTTATATTTTTACTTTTGTCAATCATCGGGATAAAGGATCAAAGATAAATGCTGACTAGCGCAACAATAATTTTGTCAACTATTTATGTATTAATAATACACATCAAAACATAATATGCAATGCATGTTGTATAGTAGATGATTAAAAATGCTTGAATTAATTATAAATGTTTTTAAAAAATTTTAACCTTTATTGTATGTAAACAAAAATTATAGTAACAAGAGGTTACAATATTAAAGAATCACAATTATTTCTAAAATGATAATTATGGCTTAAATGCTATTAATATGAATTTTACATTTTATTACTAGCTTGCCATTTATGATTTATTAATACACTATTGATACGATCACATTTGCATGTGCCCATATATCTGNAATCCAAAATATTATTTTGGAATGCTATAATTCGTACGCATATTAAAGAAATATTTTTTACATTTTAAAAATATTGATTATTCTCAGTCCAACGATCTTTATTATGTTAACATATGAAACTCTAGTTTGGTCGGTAATAACACCTAACGTTCTTGCTGATGAAGCGATTGGCCACCGCGACATTACAAAAACGTGACCCTGACATTCATCATTATCTCACGTGACGACGTTTGATGATGATAAATATTTTACATAGTATTACAATTATGTAGTATTACTTATTAAAATCAATTATTTTAGCATCTTAATGCTGGTCGATTAATATTATTTTAGATTTTGATCATTGTGATAATTATTAAATTTTATGAGTATTATATTATTTTTATCAAATTTTCTTTTATTCCAGCAGCGACCGAAGACTTTTCCGGCACTGTCTGATGATGATTATTAATTTTATTATTTATTATGTTTATTAAAAAAAAGAAAGAAAAAATGTTATATTTTTGGAAGTAAAATAAAAGCTGACATATTTCAGTCTAATTATTATTGCTATAAGCATTTTTATTATATTTAATTTGTATTTTATTCCAGCAGCGACCGAAGATTTTTCCGGCACTGTCTGATGATGATTATTACTATAATTATTTATGATTCCAATTAGCGGTTTATTTTAATCTAATTATTAATACGTTATAATTTTTTTTTTTTTTAATATATTTATTGAAAGTTCAATTATAATTGTTATAAGAATTATTATTATAATTGATTTGTATTTTATTCCAGCGTGTCAGACGATTATTTTTTCCGGCATCGTCTGATGATTGGTCTATTTAAAAAAAAAAAGAGAGAAAACACGAATTACAGTTCGTTTAATACGACTTTAAAAACAATATTACTACTTAATAAGGATAAAAGTTTTACTATTTCACAAATCAAACTACAGTGATAAAAACATACTGTATTTTAAGTTGAACAAAAAATACGTTATTAATAAATGAACTTAAATAATAAACTTACATAAGTCGATCTAACACATAACTCAAGATGACCATCATAAAATTTTTAAAATAACCGAATGGCAATTGATATATTAGTTTTTGTTAATTTTTCTGATCATATTAATCAAATATACAGTTTAATATAAGTCAATGTACTGTATGATATTAATTAAGGTTGGTTAAATAAAATGAAAATTAATTTTTAGATATGTTACAGGCATTGACAGGTCGATTGCTAAGAAAACATTAATGATGATCCACTTAACAACTTTAAACAAAACTGCCGTTTTCACGGCAAACTGTCTAATAACTTTCATTTTTATTATTTCAGTACACATTAAATTATAGTGTAATAACATATTACTAGATAATATTACATATTGAAACTAACTGTCATTGACTACTAAGCGCAAGATTAGCAACATCAATTTACAACATTTTGTCATAGACTAATTGTTTATTTTTTATTCCGCAAATAGAAACCTGACTCTGATTTTTACATTCTGTACAGTTGGACTAGTAGACTAGGTATAATAAGTGTTATTTAAATACATGAATATTTTTATATTGTATAATAACTATAAAATAGTCCCGTTACCACAATTTTTATATAAGTTATTATGCATTGTGTAGTTAAAAGTAAGATAGCAAATTGTAAATTTGTAGAATTTTTAGCAACGTTTTTATTCTATAAATTAGGCTAACTTATATTAATTTTGATTGTAAAATAAATTTAAACATATAAAAAATGTATATATTCATTTCTATTCAATCGCAATGCATAATCATAAGTCTAACTTTGTAACCTAAAATTAACATATAAATTTACCCTATGAAATGTAAATAAAAGCAAACATCTTGTAGTGGTAACGAACTTCGAGAACAACAGAATAAGTCGTAGGAGGCAATTATAATATATACTATGAATATCACCACTATCAATTAAAACGAATACCACAACTAATTACATGAAAACAACAATTTAAGAACGCATGAAGATACAAGATTACAAGAAGTTTCGTGAACATAACAAGATTTTCGTCCCTAATTTTAAAGAGAACCATAAATTAAAAACTCTTTAAGCATTATTAGAAAAATTTTGTTTTCTTCTTTCTTTTCTCTTTTTCTTAATATTTTGACCTTTTATAAGGTTCAGAGTCGAACCTTTAATAGGGGAGAGGGTAATGTAAGAACATTTATTACTATGTTCTTACCACTTATATTACACATAGAGGGAGATGCTGATGTGACAATTCTACTCGTCTGTAGTCCGGAGCTACTAACGTCGAACTAACAAAGGGCAGTTGTGTTTGAGTGGCCGTTATAGACATAGTTTTTAATATTATTACTTACGTCTTATTTATATTATTTATAACTTAACTTGTTTTATTCAACGACCCGTCTATCGCCAATTATCATCATAGCCAACCAACTCCGTCTCACTTGGATATACCTACTAACCAACTGTACTAGGATTCAGGTCAGACGTATTGTACATTACATATAACTTATATTTACTGAACATCTAAAATATAACTTTACTTTGTCGTTGACATAAAACAATAGTCTAATTTTATTTAATAATCTATCCCCTGTAACTAAGGTACACGATTGCCTGTGTCTCCTTCAGGCAATTAAAACTCNTTTGCCTGTGTCTCCTTCAGGCTATTAAAACTCATTTAAGGAGATAGGGACGATATTTGGACAGACGTCGGGTAGCTTCCGATTCTTGGTTTTGACCAAGATCCTCAACTATTAAACAAACCCCTAACAGGTGTGACAATTTTTAAATGCTTATTCAATGAAAATTAAAAAATGAACTGTTAAAGTTTGTCTTTCAGACACAGATGTACAACAAACACAATTTATAAAAACTATTATTTTTATATAGCAAATTTTCTGATTATTTTAATTAGCAATATCCTTTTGAAAATAAGATATGTACGTGTACATTCAATAATACATTACTTTAGTTTAATTCTAAACATATTTATAACACAATTTGTTAGTCACTGAACTCTAAAAATAAATAACGAATGGTGTATATNTCACTTAACTCTAAAAATAAATAACGTATGGTGTATATGTTTTTTTAAAATATGGGATATTTTATTTTAGTTTTAACAAATTAAAGTATTTTCTAGTGGTTTATGCCAATTAAATATTTTTTAAATATACAAATAAATTAAAATATAATAATTTGAAATAGTTTATTATCAAATATAATAGATAATTACAATATTATTATTAATCAATCAAATTTTAAAAATACCAAAATCATATTACATTTTATTTTTAATTTAAATATAGAAAAATGTTTACTTTTTATAATGTTAAGCTTCTAAATGATTCTATACAATTGTCTGTTAAGTTTTTAGAGTGACAGCAAGAGTATTTGGATCATATTGAAAACCATAATTACTGTTACTTTCAAAAAGATTCGTGATAATTGTACAATAACTTTCTATGTCTATTTCTCGTATATCAACATTATTATGAAAATAAATACGTCCTGTACATGCTATAAAAAAATCTATAGATTGAACATGGTTGTTAAAAAAGTCACCAACTCTACCTTGTGCATACGAAAGTTTTTTATTAAAATCTTCATCTACTGTAAGATGTTCTTTTTCTCCTATTTGTATCAAAGTATTTAATGTAAGATAAATTTCATTAAAAAATATTTCTTTAGCAAGCGTTGTTGATGGTAACTTAACCATTTCAGAAAAATATAATAATGAGTTTTTCATCTTTTTAAGTTCTGTGCAAAAGCTTTGATATTTTTCAACCAACTTTCTACACATTTTTCTTTATTGTAAAAATTTTTGCATTTTATCTTTAAAAATGTTGTTAATTTCATTAGTTGTTGTAGATCAAGAGCATAGTGAACGCTCAATAACAAATGGAATTTCCATACTCTATCGTTAAAATTCTCTTCTGTAATTATTTGATCGTCCTCAAATAATGCATTTAAAGGAAAATATTCAATTTTATTTTTAAAATTCCGACCAAAGAATGTAAATTGATTAGCATATTGATGCTCTGTTAATTTTTTCCACGCTGTGTGTTGCACCAAAGTATTAAATTCATTAACAGTTATGGCCGTTACTCTAAAATTAAGAGCATCATAAATAAAAACTAAAGAAAATAAATACAATTGAAACATTTTGTAAAAATTATTTTTCATGAACATACGATAACAGAGAAAATACGTCTTTTCTTTTTATACTAGTTAATGGTACTCTTCTCTTTACCTAGATAAAAATACACAATTTTTATTTTCGGTCAAATCTACAGTTTGGGTAAATAAAGTCTATTAAAATGTACTTAAAATATTCGTATTTACGCAAATATAGAAAATGTGTGTTATCATTTAAAAATTAAACGTCAATGCT